CTGAAAGTTACGAAATGTGACCTAAGTATAATATTCATCAAAAAATAACAATGAATTATATATTTTGCTCAGTGAATGGCTTTCATTTGAAATGAGCTTTCACTTTTCTCTTCTTTATCCTTTATCAGTTTGTTAATGATAAAAGTTACCGATTGATAAAATAAGCACAAGATAATATTATTTTCAGTAAAACACAATTTTGGGATTATTGATACTGATTTTGTTTTGAATGTTTATATCACATTAACATATTAATGACATATAACAAATCTGACAATTCAAATATTGTAGCAACTTCAATCAATTTAAAGCATAAACATTTTGTAATGATAATACGGAATTGGTCAAAGTTAAATATCTAATAAATATGTCAAGCATTAAATCATTGTTTTACTTTTGTTTCGAAATAGATATTTTATAGAATGTACGTAGATCATTTTTGTCCGAGTTTAACCAACAAGTCCTATACTATTTTTCGCATTTTTTTATTCATGTAAGTTCTTGTTTGTTTGCTTGTTTATTATTATCATTATTATTATTTTATTATTATTATTATTATTATTATTATTATTATTATTATTATTATTATTATTATTATTATTATTATTATTATTATATTTTTTAACACTAAATAATGTTAAGAACCTATTAACTTATATTATGTATTATATGTAATTGCCTTTCATGTGATACAAAATATATCCATGTACCCTTGACGATATGCTTATAATGCACTTTTAGTAAAAAAAAAAAACATTTTCTGTTCCGATCTGTTCTATAATACCGGAAAAGCAAACCATGAAATAACCAGATAACTAGTGCTTTGCTAATAAAGTAAATTTTGTAACCATATTCTCAGGAATCATTAATGACATTTATAATGTGAAAGGAAATAATCTGATTTAAAGACTTCCCGTACTCCAATTATTCTCTTCAAGCTAAAAGAAGGCATTTATAACACAATAATTAATATGTTATTAATACTTCCAGCCTACCAGGTATCAAACTTAATTCGCTTTATAATAAATTATTAAATTTATTTTAATACATTTATTTATTTATTTATTTATATGTATAATTCATATTACAATGTATCTTTATTCCAGGTTTGTCAGGTATTCTTGTTATATTTAGTCGATCTTATATAACTATGTGTCCATGATACACCAAAATAATATAAAATATTGGGAAGGTAAAATATACAATGAAAAAAATATGCCTCATAAAACTTGTTTACTTTGTTAGTTTGAAGAAAGTGTTCACCTCAATCGAACCTTGAATAAATATAGTAAACCCTTTGTTATGAAATAAAAAAAGATTTATACTTTTCTTTATAATCGTATTGATTGTGTGATTTGATACTTTTACATAAGACCAAAATATAATCTACAGTTGTCTTTTGTATCTTTTACTCTATTTATGTGACTTACACAATACAATGGAATTAACTGTGCCGCTATCTGTTTCAACCGAAATACCGTAACCGTTCTGTGCACCGAAGACTGACGGAAAGGACCGAAATGTTGCTATTGAGTAACCTATTTGGCTAAGATACTGCAATAAGATTATCAATAACACCTAAGTACAATCAAACACTTCTTTGTTTTGAAGACTTCTGAGCAGCAGATTCAAGCAGATTTAACCAACTTGTAGTGAACACAATAGCTTTTCCTGTCTACAATGCATTAATTCATTGTTGGTTTAACAGTTTCTACCCACATCATGTCATATAGATTTAAAAGACATTTACATTACATGATTAATGAATCTCGTTTTTTATATGTAGTTATCTAGACACATTAAAGTATTTAATGCCTAATACAGACGCTCCTTTCTAAAAAGTGAGGAACTTAATAGCAATGGGGCGTTGGTTCAAACTCCAGTTTGTATAATAATACAAACGAGTAATTGCGACTGCTGAGCCTCGGTAAGGTCATTATTTTGATAAATTTAAGTGATAAATGTTTTCTAAATTCAAACAAGACCTAGCATATACATGATAACATTCTTCACATATCAATACCAAGTGCATTCTCCTACTTTTTATAATTTTCGAGAACATTTGAATTGTTTGAAAATTGCACATTTAGTTTAATTAAATCACACGAGAAATTATAATTTGGTACAAAAATGAATAAAAAGTGAGCTTTCTTCCTTCAGTAAAATCACAAAATCAAACATAACAAAATATTTCAAAATCTGTTTCAGAGGCAGATAACCAGTTGCACAGCATTATTCAAGGATAAATGACACACATTGAAGAATATAATAGTTTACATGCATTGCTCCTAAAAATAATGACTGACAGCAGTTTATGTTCCCCTCATCCAGCAAAAATCACACCTAAAATATACTAATATAAGTAACCTTCATGAAGATGCAGCATACTCCAGAATTCGCCCGATTCCTTGAAAATCATCCCTTACACACAATGTAATGAATAGCATTTTCAAATTTGACCAATAAAGTGTCTGTCATGATTTTTCACAAAATTTATCCAAAATTTCTTACTTGTTTGGCGCCAACTGTCAAAGCTTGATTTTTAACTTTTTCACCTCCAATCGAAAAGTCACAAATACATACAAAACTACCAAAATGCCTAGTTTCGGGTAAATATCAAAAATACTGCTCATTTCCTACACACAAACAATCCAGTACCTTCAAAACACCATGACTGGGTTAATAAAATTTTTGACGGGGACATCATTCGGATATGTCCCCTACCCCCTAATTATTCCGGATTGAAAATAGTTCTACCACGAGGCTTAAGATGTAAACGTAATCCTCGATAATGTAAAACGAATGTATATACAAATGTATTTGAAATCAAAACGAAGATAAAGTCTGTTTCGGTACAATTATGATTGAAAATATGTCTGACAACCGTATCCCAAAGATGTACAATTTGAAACAAAAGCGACTTAAATACGCCGCTTTTCATGGAATGGCACGAAAGTGTCACATTGAAGGTTCCATGATAACCGCCGTATGAACACATCTGCGGATGTTTCTAAATTCAAATTTTACTATTTCATGTTTAAATGTTGAATTCTGCTTATGCAGGTGCTAGGGGGCGTGGACGGTTACTTGCACTTTCCAGTACCGTCCATGAACAGGAACAATCAAACCGAGCCTGCAACATTTTCAATTTTGCCGTGTTGGGCTTTCTTTAGGGATTCTGTATTTATCTATTTTATGATCACATCCGTGTAAATTGTGCCGTGTGGCGGCTGTAAAAAGTCTCCCCGTACATTTAATCAATGATGTTATATTTTCGATCCTTGAAGATCGTTCAGCACGACATTATTTTTGTGCTTGTGGTATTTTTAGTTTCAACTGCTCGGCATTTTCTAGTCGGGTGGTTCCAATATTCCTACTTGAATAACGTTGAATCACCCTTAGGATATGAGGCCTGCTTTTTAAATTTGTCTTTTGACGTCTTATCTGTGATACGCAGGCTTCATAACCTCTGATCCCCTTTCAAAATTCCATTTTATTTAGTTCTGCCCATTGTTTTCTCGTTTAGGGCATACGCTTTTTATTACTATGGGACCATACGCCGCTTTTCATGGAATGGCACGGAAGTGTCACATTGAAGGTTCCATGATAACCGCCGTATGAACACATCTGCGGATGTTTCTAAATTCAAATTTTACTATTTCATGTTTAAATGTTGAATTCTGCTTATGCCGGTACTGGGGGGCGTGGACGGTAACTTGCACTTTCCAGTACCGTCCATGAACAGGAACAATCAAACCGAGCCTGCAACATTTTCAATTTTGCCGTGTTGGGCTTTCTTTTGGGATTCTGTATTTATCTATTTTAATGTTAACAGGATGGCATTTTGTACTTTCGCTTCCTACTAACATAATAATAAGTATGTAAATATTATTATGTATTATTTGGTTTTCTATCTATAAATTCACTTATTTTAGGTGGACTTTTACTTGATATGTTGGAAAAAACTTGTCAACCACTCCCAGAATTAAATTACTATTGTATAGTTTATTAGCGTAGATTTGACCGCAATACGGCTTCCGTTCTGTGTATTCATACTATTGTGTTCTATATATTTATTCGAAGACTAACGGTGAAGGGCCAGAAAGTTGCGATTGCTTCTCTCGTAGAAGTCCATATAAAATCTTATAAGTGTAAAATGTTCTTTGCAGATGTATATATATACGAGCGAAGTCAGTAAAACGAGCAGTTTTGGCTCGTGAGCTACACGAAAACAAAATGTTATTCACGCACAGTTAACATGTACTTTAAAATAAAATAAAAGCATATATGTAAAGAAAAAAGAGCATATGTTTCATTAGTGGTTTTCAAAATGTTTTAAGGTACATGTTTTAAGGACGCAAATTATGCTATATATTCCTTAGATTATCTTTTGCATAAAGTTAACGCCCCAAACACTTTATCTCAGTTCATAACCTTTTTTTTATAAAAAAAATGGTATTGTGTTGTCGAATTTATCTGAAGTAAACTAATATAACAAAATGGTGTGTAGTTAAGGAAACCCAAAACGCTGACTTGGGTGTCTTGAAGTATTGATAAATATTTATCAATGACGTTTATGATTTGTCTGCATTTATTGCCGTCAACATAAATAAAAAATGCTCCTTCAAGAAGAATAAAATTATTTTTACTAAATGATAGAATACATTGGTTTATATTGTTTTTTTTTCCTTCAGTAATAGCAGTCTCTTAGAACATCTTCAACGAGGGTAGGCTTAGATGTCCTCCCCTCTGTGCATATTAACTACAACACACACTGAATAGAGCTGTTAAATAGTATTTTATAATCATGTTGAAGTTATGAATTGTCAAAGACAAAACAATCTATTCAATTTTCCAATTTTGTAAAAACAAAGAAAGTCATTTGACAAACAAAAAATGTATGTAGTATGGTATATCCATTTGAAAATCGGTCACGCATATGCACCCATGTCGAACTACAATTGCAAAAACAATATAGCAACGGCAAATATGGCCGCAGACGGGCGTAAATATAGCCAATCTTTTTATCAAGGATCGGATATAGAGTATGAGTTTCCTTGTTCTCCTTGTTTTAAAGAAGGAAAGTATTTGGCTGCTTTCAAACATTGTGTGGAATGCGATGAAAATCTGTGTCAAAAATGTTTAGGTGATCACAATAAGTTTTCTGTAATGAGAGGACATCAGTTACTAGACACGGTAAAACAACCAAGCGGGAAAAAGCAGGAATTACCAAGTAAAAGATGTGAAAGACACGGAGGAAAATTGATAAACGTCTACTGTCCTGGTCATGATAAGGTTTGCTGCTCAACGTGCATGGTTGTTGAACACAGGTATGAAAAATTCTACTTTCAGTTTCGATGCATTGACAAGGAAATTATTTTGACCCAATTAGGAAAACGTAGTTATATATATTTATATTTAGAATAAGATACAACCTCTTTATTGTCGTCAAAATGAATTTATAGTTTATTGTATCATTGGTCCAGAATTAGCAATAATCTTTATTGCAATATTTTCTTCAGGGTCTATAAATTTGTACGTTTTAACTCAGGTAACTGGCAAAAATCGACATACTCTATATCTTTTGTAGTTTAGATCATTTCTAAAATTAAGGTTGAATATCTGTATTTTCAAACAGGCATGTCGCCCCTTGATATTTATTTAATATTTATTTAAAAAATGTATCAAAATCGTAATTTAATGACATACTGACAATGGTTTTATCAGATAACGTTTAGCACAGATGTTTCATATTGATTTCTCCTTCTGCCTCTTTTATTACAGTGGCTGTACAGGAATAAGTTTTATACCAGACATAGCGTGTAAAACCGAAACCTCCAAGAAACTTAAACGTCTCGAAGCCAATATAAGCACTCTACAGTCCCGTTTTCACGTCTTAAAACAGAACAGGCAGAAAGAACTAGAAAATGCGAAGACAGAAAAAAGTCAATTGATTAAAGAAATAAAATCAGAAAGAAAGAAAATCAACGACCATGTGGACAAGATGGAACAGGAACTTCTTCAAGAAGTAGATGCCACCTTTCAGACCAAACTTCAACATATAGAGTCGAATATGAAACAAGTTGATGAGAGGATCGCTTCACTTCAAGAAAGTCTGAAGAAGATAAATGCTGCTAAACAGGAAAACGAATCTGAGAAATATCTACGGATCAAACGCGTCAACGAGGAGGAGAAAGTTGCACGCAATAGTTTAGAAGACTTGGAGAAGTCAAGAAAATCAGGCGCAATACGGTTTGAGCCATATAGACAAGCGACTTATTCGGAATGCAACACAATTGGAAATATACTTCACTTTCCAATGATTGAAGTAGACAAATGTGCTGAATTTAATGCGCGACTAAAGGATGACAAACAGTCATGCAATATTTTAGGCATGTGTATGCTTGAAGACGGATGCATGATCATGACAGATTACAAGAATAAATGTGTTAAGAAAATGAATAATTCCTTCCAGATCATATCTTCGCTGAATGTCACTGACAATCCTGTTGGTATTTGTCAGATAGACGCATCACTGGTGGCCGTTACTCTGATTAATGATAAGACAGTTCAGTTTATCTCACAGAAAGAACCTATGGAGTTACAGCAGTCATTCAAGGTCGGCGATAGATGTCGGGGTATTGCATACAATAACGGGATGATTTATGTTTGCTGCGCCGGATCAAAGAATAGAAAAGATGAAGGTGTTGGTCACATGGAGGTATATACAGTGTTTGGGGAATTGGTTTTATCTCATTATGATGAGATTGAATGGCCATTAAATATAACGATTTCAAAAACAACAATGGAGGTTTTCGTGATCGATGTGTATAAAGGTATCTTAAACATCAATAGAAACCGAAGGATGAGTCCCATAATTGTAGATAACAAATTATTCTCGGATCCTCGTTATATTTGTAAGATAAACAATAGCCAGTATTGTGTTGGTTTCTATCAGTCAGACAAATTTCTTATGATGTCACATGATGGAAAGGATCAGGTAGAACTCTCAATAAGAGAAAATAGTTTAGGTCCTACCTGTTTATGTTTTGATAACACAACTTTAAGACTTGTAGTTTCCTGTTGGGAAAGTGACAAAATCATGGTTTATACTTTAAAGATAAGTGACTGATTTGTCATTAACAAAGTACCGCTACCGGAATAAGGAAGGTGAATCGCTGAAAACGAAGAAGTGGCGAAATACAGTTTTTATAATGCATTATATAAATATACCTATATGTCAGTATCTAATTAAATGCATATTGTTTTTTAATGATGATGTGTTGTATCTATTTGTTGATTATATTACTTTCAAATACATGCACATAGTATAAAATACTATATTTATTAATAAAGGAACATACTGACTTCATGTACAAAATGAACAGTTACATATGTACATGCATTTTGTTAGTTTTAATACCAAAATTGTATAAAGAAAGTAGTATGACTTGTTATAAAACTTGTTTAGAAAATAGACCTTTTCAATATCATAGATATGTATGTTTGTGAATTTTGTTTCAAAAAATTGCAGTTATAGTAATATCTGTCCTGCTTCAATATAATCATAAGAAGAGAATCTAAACGATTTGTAAATTATTTTACACAGACAAATAAGGAATACAGTATTATTTCTAGTGTACTTTGTTTGTCTTCTTATCTTAGTACAATAAAATCTGTCTTACAACACAAGTGTCTTAGTTATTCGTCAATTAACATGATTAAGAGACATGCTTGTTTAGTATAGTGGCTGATGTTTGCCTTTTCGTGTCTCGAAGAGGGAAAACACGAAAACACGATAATATGTTCACTTACTGTGTCTTCGCCTTCGATGTTTGATGGCGCTGACACGTAAACAAGATACATTATTGGCGAAATTACTATATTCTAAGGCGAATTACTATATTCTAAGGCGAATTATGTTTAAGGAAACAAGAGAGGAGAAAACATATGAATAACTTATTTTTAGGTAAGGGAAGGTGTGTAAGTATGGAAGGGGCACTAATCAGATTTATAAAAAGTAGACAACTTAAATAAACAAACTTAACAGAGTTATGGTTATTGCACATTGCAAACATATCATTGTCAACATTAACTTTGTTTACGAATCACTGAACCTGAACTTGCGACTAAAACTGCACAGCCATTGTTAGCACAATAGCTTAATTCTTATGAAATCAAGGTGAATTGAAGACACGTCTTGCTCAGAAATGTCGCAGACAAATTTTGTTTGAAAAAGCAATGAAAGGGCCTAATGTTGATACAAACCATTGAACTCAATCTAGATAGCGATTGCAGTAAAAGGGTCGGAAAAATTGAAGGTGAAATAACAGTTAAAAAAGGAAGATTGAAGCATAGTTATTAAAAATGTACTTCAAAGTAAAATCTGTTTTCAAACGAACAGCTCATATTTTAAAAAAAGATAATCATGTTCTCTAGTTAAGGAAGAGATAATTTAGATACAACTATGTATGATTCTTTAATATCTCTTTTCTATGATATGGATAGCCATGGATGTACCGGTTAGGTCACTTGGTAGATATCAGTTGGCAAAGCGTTGAAGTGTGAATCAGATGGCCAAGGATCGATTCCCGAATATGGACAAATATGGGAAATCTTTTAAATAGTTTACTTTAGTTTTTATAGCTTCCTTTCCATTTTAAATGTTGTTCTCCGAAATTGGTGTATACTTGTCAAATATTTATAATTTCAAAAACTTTCTACAATGATAAAAATAAATTTGGATAATGATACAGACAATTAAACATTTGATTTGTACTCTAAAATATTGACAAAGTAAGTTGATATATTTTGTCATGTGATGTGCTTTACAACAAATAAAATGCTTCTGTCCATTAAATTTCCACATCAAGACACAAATGTTTGTATAATAATCCGGGTAAAGCCAAAGCAATTCAACCTACATGATATTCAATTTAAAAAGATTAACATAAATCTTTATTTAGCAAGGACTCAATTAGAATTGCAATTGCATAGTCGATAGGCAAGAGCTTCCTCGGTTAGAACAATCATAATGATTTGAAAAATAACTTATCCATGCAAAGATGTCCTGAACTAAGCTTCAAGTAACATTAAACTTGAAACTACTTAAAACAATAATAAAGTGTTCCTAAATTAAAACAGGTTATGTCCATTACACAAAGATAGCAGGATAACAGGATCAAAATGTTAAAGCTACTTTTCCACACTTGTACGAGGGGCATATTTTAATTAATGGCAACGGCAGCGCGTTTTTATAAATAAGTCATACCTGCGAAAATTAATGGTAAAGTCCTTCAAAATATTCACCATGGACACTCAAAATCCATTCCGAAAAAAGCATTCTTGAACTGTTATGTATACTGTCTATACAATGGTTAAGAGCGCTCATGACGGCACTACGGGTTTCAAACCGACGACCGCAAAGGCAAGATTTAATGTATAGATGTTGTCTTACTATTATCTTTTTGTAAGCTCTTTATCAAATATTTAAAATTGAAAAATGCTGTACCATGAAGACTTGATTAATTTTAAAGGAATCTTAAAGTTGATTAATGCTTGTTTAATTGTAGTTGTGACTGCGTTTTTGCCGAGTTTATCGTTGAAAGGTTGACTTTTTACAGCTTACTTTCACTCGATTTTGCATTGCCTGAATTTTTGTTTTCACAGGGATTTAAATTAATTATTTGTTTCATAAAAAATAGTATTTAACTGCAAATTTCTAAAAGAAAATAGCAGTTAAACTATTAAAACTACAATTACGTAATCCCATATTTGATTTGGTTTGGTTTTATGTCATACCGACGACACAGAATAGGTCATATGGCGACGTTCCAGCTTTACTGGTGGACAAATACCTCAGGTGCCCTTCCGTGCATTATTTAAGGCACAAACGGGCACCTTAGTAGAACCACAGACGTTCCGTAAGCTAGCTGGATAGTTTCCTCACATGAAAGAGTCCAAAGTCCCTGTCGGGATTCGAACCAACAGCGGTTAGGGGCAAGTGATTTGGAGTCAACGACCTTAACCACTCGGCCACGGACGCCCAAGTGAATCCAATATATATATTTAATAAGAAATAAATAACACCAAATAAGCTTTACAAAATAGGAAACATAATATCATTTAGATGGTTATAAAATGACAATAAACAAATTAAGATTGAATCGAATTCAAGATTGAAGAAAACAGTTTCGAGAGAAAGATTTATTTTGTTAGAAATGTTAGCCATTTTTAACATGGTTTATTGTTGTGTGTTTTCTGATTTATCACCTGGTTGATAATTGTTTCATTCAATTCCGTAAGAGATTATATCATGCGCGTGCCATTCTATCTTCTCTGAAAACATAAAATATGTGTTGTTGATTTTTTTAAAATTTAATATGAACATATATTTTAGTGCAACATTTAACGAAATACTGAAAAACAGAATCCCTAAAGAAAGCCCAACACGGCAAAATCGCAAAACGTTGCAGGCTCGGTTTGACCGAGCCCTTTCATGGACGGCAACGGAATAAAAGTCTTAAATCATATTCATAAAAGTCTTAAATTATATTAATTAAATTTGTCTCATGAATCTTTCTTCAAAACGAATAAGAAAATGCATAAAACATAGACTTAAATGTTGAACATGTCTTTGCAATTCTTTTTTATATATATAACACTGTCCTCAATAGGGTTTATTTAAAAATGCATTTAAACGTCCTGTCGATCTGGATAAAAACTATTCATGCCTTTTAAAAGTATGTCAAAACTACATAACAATAAGAAATTAAACATCTTAAAAAGTTCAGTCGCTCCAACGTTGGTCCTTCAGAGCTGTTTAAATCGTTTAATCTGTTTTCTTATTAGCGTCTCATAATTTTTAAATACCTTACCTGATCCCCCATGAATAGTACTCAAGAACACGCCGAACTGTATTTATATTGATATATTATCTTGCACCATGTTGTTTATGAAAATGACTAAAACTGTTATTTATATATAGAAGTTTTATATGTAAAATGAAAGTGCAATGCGATATCGTTTTCCAAAACAAAACTTTCACAGAAAGCATGCTTTCAAGATATTGGACAGAGGTATAAAAATAAAAACGTATTTGTACGTTTGATTTTTTTGTATTTTTTTTCATTTTGTGCTACGATTGAGAAGAAGCATTAAGTAGAAGTATTCTGGTAACTGCTTTGGTTAATAGAAGCAGTGTTATAAGATGTAATACATCTTATTCAAAAACAATATCTTGGAAAAACTTGCGGAAAGATCATTTAAAAAAGAAAACATGTTTTCCTGTCTCTCGCTAAACTATGTTCATAATGGCTTAATAATTTGGTAAAAGACATTCAAGTGTCAGTATATATCATTCGATGGAATCGCAGACAGTTTCAGACAAGAAAATAACGTTAAGTGGTATTAATTTCTTAAATGGGTTAGCGTAACTTCCTCATGCAACATTGGATTAACTGATGACACCGTGTAATTTTAAATGTTTCTATAATTCATCACACGTGTAATATTATGTAATCATGGACAACTCATTTTTAATGTATGACCAGCTAATGTTATAAACACAAATACGTCTATTGAATGAGTGGCTTCGGGTTATTCTAGACTAAGTAGTAATATTAGACTAAACAGAATATACCAACTCTATTAAGAAATGTGATGTGATAGGAAAGCTTTACGAATTACCGAAATATGATTGCACCATAAAACCATAAAATTATACAGCCGAGTCATATCATGCAGGCATGATTGGAGTGGTTTCGGGTTATTCTAGACTCTGTACATGTAGAAATATCAAAAGCGGATTCTATTAACAAACGTGATGTGACATGAAAGCTGTAAGAATTACGAAATATGATTACACCTGATAAATTCATAGATTATATAGTCCAATCATATAATGCTATCAATTTAATTCAACACTTTTCCACTCTTATGTTGTTTATTTATCCATAAAAAGAATTAGAATTAACTATTATGTATTTACATAGCAAATTGATGGTTCATCATGTTATAATTTGCTCGATTTTCTACTATACAAGTTCTGATATTTACGTGAACAGTACGCCAATGGCAATTGAATTTCTTTACAACTTCTTCACTTTAATGTTGTTTACGTACCATTGAAAATATTAGAATTAACTATCTTATGTTTTTGACGGCTCAAATATGCTCGATTTTGTACTATACAGCTACTGATATTTACTTGGACAGTGTAGTAATGACAATGGAATGATCGGACTCAAGTAAATGCTGACAAGTCCATAGACATTTTTAACATATTATAAAAGGTAAAACATTAAAGAAAATTAATGAATATATTTTTCCACGTTTGCAAACATAGTGTGTAAATTCCGACTGATTATCTAGGAAGTCACGAGACACGACACAAAGGAGCATGTCAACATTGTTTAATGGAATACCTAAATAAAGCATAGACGCTGCATGAATCATGCCGATCATTCAATAATTAATCACAATATGTTACTAAACAATTACTCTCGATAACCCTAATTTGATTCTTAATAGATATATGCCCTGATACTTGTGGAATACGTATATGGAGTGGAATGGTTTCTTTATAGACTAAATTACCAAATACACCAGCTATAAATGTATACCAAATGAATGTAAAAAGGACA